ATCGAACTCAGGGGCCCTTACCTACTTCAAAGGTATAGGTGGGCTACATAAATGGAGGCACCGCTGGGATTGTGTTGAGATTAACTGGCATAGCTTTACTCTATTTGCTGTTTTTTAGGTTCCTACAGTCACGTTTAAATCTCTAAATTCCTTCTTATATTTCATATTCACATTTACATATATGAAACATGGCAAACACACTAGTGGACAARCTGAAGAAGTGGAGTCGTGGGGAAGCACTTGATGAGAATCATGCCCTGCTGACCGTTGTTCCTGAAAACACTGAAATAGCAGTTATTGAAGAGACAATGCAAACTATTAAGTGTCTTGGACGAGTAAGGGTCAGAGGTCGAATTTGTAATGACAACGACAACGAAGTGCTTGTACTTTGTGAATGCAGAGAAAAAGTGACGGCAGAGAACGTTCCCCAGGAAGTGGCAGCACCAGAAGGACTGGCAGTCTGGCCAATTATTACTGCATTTAATAAACCTATTCCTCAGGATGACTTCAACATTAAACTGAATGCTCTCTTACAGGCAGAGGGGAAAACACTGAACGATGTACAAGCTCTTTTCACTGACCCACAACCCACTCCATCTCATGAAGAGTCTCTCATTCGGGCTGTTGCTAATCTAATAGACAAAACAAGCAAACCTACTRCAGATAGTGGAGGTTTTCGTCGCCTGCGCATCTTTTCAGGTATTATACCTACTCCGGCTGGAGAGGAACAGTTTGATCACTGGCTAGAGCAAGCTTTTCTGATGGTTGAGGAAACAGAGGGCTCTGACAAAGACAAAAGGAGAAGGATAATGGAGAGTTTAAAAGGGCCAGCTCTGGAGGTGGTTAAAGCAATACGCCTTTCAGATCCTGATGTTAATCCAGTACAGTGCTTAGAGGCCCTCGAAAGTGCTTTTGGACTAGCTGAGTCCGGTGATGACCTSTATTTCTCTTTTAGACTTTTACAACAACAACTGGGTGAAAAGTTGTCAGACTTCCTCAGAAGGCTTGAGCGTGCACTGACTAAAGTTGTACAACGAGGTGGTCTGCCAGCCAACAAGATGGACACAGCCAGAGTCGATCAGCTACTTAAAGGGGCAGTAAATGCTGATTTAATGTTGTTGCAGCTCAGACTGAGAGAAAGGCGAGCCAACCCTCCAACCTTCCTAGAGCTGTTAAAAGAGATCCGGACAGAAGAGGAGTACGAAGCTTCCAAAGTAAAGCTTAATCAGTCTGTCCACACTGTCCATGCCAAAGTTCAGTCAGAAAACAAACWGTCTGAAATACAAAATCTGCGAGCAGAAATAAAGGAAGTCAAGTCAATGTTTGCAGCCCTTACAACTCAACCTCCACCTGAAGCGCAAGTTACTGAACAGCATCCAGCTAATACTGAGGCAGCAACAAGCTTGGATCCTGAAGTAATAGCACTGAAAAAACAGGTCAAACATTTACAGCAAAAAATGAACTCAAGGACACCAAGACGTCAAAATGCAGCTCCACAAGTTGTGATGGCGGTTAGCACWCCAGCTAGGTCTTCAGCGGAGAGCGAACAGCGGTTTTGCTACCGTTGTGGTGAAAATGGCCATATGGCAGGAAAATGTAATAGATCTGAAAACCAAAACAAAGTTATTCAGAGACTGCTCCAAGCACTTAAGAAAGCCAAGACCAATAGCTCACAGACCCACGCTGAAGCCACACCTCTAACTGATCCTAACTGCACAGTGAGAAAAAGTGCTGTAGGTATGCTCGAACCTATAGGCATACCCGAAGGCTTAATAGGTCCATCTTCAGTTGAGCCATTGAAAATAAATGGGCACTTGTGTGATGCACTTTTGGACAGTGGTTCCCGTGTTAGCATCATTTTCGAGTCCTGGTAYAGRAAGTACCTGACAGAAACACCCATCCACTCAGTGAACAAGCTTGACATTTGGGGTCTAAGTGATTCTAGCTACCCCTACCTCGGCTATGTGGTAGTAGATATGGAATTTCCAAAGAAGGTGACTGGGGCCCCAACAACCATGTCTGTTCTAGCCCTGATTTGCCCCGATCCACCTGGTCCTGATCAAACACCTGTAATCATAGGGACCAATGCCAAAGCTAGTCTCTCTAAACGCTTAGCTCAACTATGCAGCGACACCCCCAGTACTCCAGCCCATGCTTTTGGTATTCAGAGCTCGAGCTCCAATACAAAGACAAGTATTTCCTCACCCAYCMCAGAAGAAGATGATGGGGTAGGCTTTGTAAAATGGGAAGGTCCTGGATCTCTGACCATACCAGCAGGTGAGAGTTWCAGAGTCACTTGTACTATTATGCTAGACCAGCCCCTCTCTAATGAAATCCTGATGGCTGAAGCCTCAGCCACCAGTCCACTGCCTGCAGAAGTATTACTTCAGCCAATGGTAATACCAACCAGTGCTACTAAGAACAACCAATGTACTGTCTTGATTCAAAATGAGTCCTTAAAGGACACAAACTTACCTGTTGGCACTATTGTGGGTCGCATTTTTGTTGCTGATGTTGTTACCACAATGTCTTGTCACCAGTCCAAGGCTGAGCATTTTGACACCAGTCAGATCAACTTTGGAGAATCACCAGTCCCAGAACAATGGAAGACACAACTGAGACAAAAGTTAGCTGAAAGAGCAGCAGTATTCTCTCTAGATGAGCTTGATGTAGGATTAGCCAAGGGAGTTGAGCACAGCATACGGCTGTCAGATCCAAGACCATTCCGTGAACGCTCCCGACGCATAGCTCCTGCAGACATTGATGATGTCCGCCGTCACATTCAGAAACTGCTGGCATCTGGTATTATCAAAGAGTCTAGAAGCCCTTACGCATCCCCAATAGTGATTGTTAGAAAAAAGAATGGAGATGTCAGAATGTGTATAGACTATCGCACGCTGAATAGCCGTACCATACCTGACC